GGTGTTTCCCAACAGCGCTGGTGCAGGTGGCAAACAACGGGTTCTGTTAGTGTTCCCTCATGTTCCGTTCCATGAGCGCAGAGGTTCCCGCTAGATTTCTTCTGTCTCTCTCTCACACACGTGCTGACTTGAGTAACATCTGACATAAACGAGCAACAGAGCAGATACGCAGACCCACAAAGCAGGAGACGCTGAAGGTCATTAGCACAACCAGTGTCTGATCTTCTGGTGTCTAGAAGCCAGAACAGAAGCCACTTGCCCTTACCTGCTTCTGGCTGGAAATGGAAGGAAACATTGGGCAAAATTAGCTAACAAGGACGTTACCGGTCCGTTTAAAAGTAGCATGAGTAATAACGCCAACTTTCATTGGGTTAATAAAGGGTAAGTTGTAACATTAGTAAAGTGGTCGTGGTAGATTTTCTTCTTCGCGGGCAATGAACAGAGTTTTCCAAAAGGACCAATTATTATAACTCCCTGCTTGGTATTTGCTGTTTCTTAAACGAGACATTTCTAAAGGCTTTAAAAAATGATTGCCACTTTTTAAAGGTATCCTGTTTTAGCCGTGTGTCCAGAAGCTGCATCTTTAAAGGAGCCCTGGCAGGGAGCTCCATCTGTTGTGCTGCCGGCAAACAAGTGAAGCATTTACTAAGGGTTTCCAAGGAATTGCTGCAAATTATATGAAATGTTATACCTGTAACAGGCGTTCAATGTACTAGCAACAGAAAAAATGTAAGATGTATAGGGACAAAGTTTTAATTTGTGAGAAAATCTTCACTCACGTAGGTAGAGATGAACTTTAATGGCATGCCACAGGGAAATCACACTAACGAAAGAAGGGAAATTAGATGATCTGGCATTTTTTGGGACAAACTGATAAATATCAGCCAAGAATCACTAAGGAGGAAACTTTAACATGATCTAGTGGAAAGACCCATTTAGAGATGCAGAATGGAGACTGAGAGAGGGGACAGAACTTGTGCTGGTAGGACTCAGTGCAGAACCCAGACCAGAGCCCCCCGGCCCTGACCTAGCGTGCATCTACCTCTCATCATTGAATTACTTTCTGTGGTTGGGTTTTCTTTACAAGTGCATCTGCCTGTCAGTGTGTTGTACTGTGGTGGCTTGTGTACTGCTATGATGCTGGAAGCTGGGCTACCAAAATGTCAAATTCCAGCAGGGTCATCCATGGTGGACAGATTTCAGTGGAGTTTTCAGACTAAGACAGAGTAGGAAGAAAGGCCTGGCAATCTACTTCTGAAAATCAGCCAATGCAAAGCCTATGGATGACAACAGAATGTTGTCTGATATAGTGCTGGAAGGTGAGTCAGTTTACTGAGGTAACCTATAAAATCTAATCAACCCGACTTCTGCTCACCTGTAAATTAAGGAGCGGGGCATTTGGGGCAAGGGGCCGCCCTGGCCTTGAAGTGGCTGCAGGGAAGACTGTGTGTGTACTGGGGGCGAGTATCACAGACTCAGGCCTGTTCTCCCTGGGTCCTTGCTGCTATTGGCTGTACCGTGGCTGGCAAGTCTGGTCTCTGGAAGGGCCTCCACACGGGGGTTACCAGGCCTGCCGAGCCTTTTGGACTGCTGGCTGCCACTGAAGTCCCTGGTTCCAGGCCTTTGCTCTCTGGCTGTGAAATCTCTGAGTAGGACAGCTCTGCCTCCTGACCCAGGCCTCTGCTGGGGTGCCTTTGGAGCCCTCTCCAGGAAAACTGCCTCTGCTTCACCATCCAGCAACCCTTCCAGCTGGGCTGGGAACCACCCCCCCAACACCCGGCAATGCTCCTTGTGCCCCTTGCAGGCTTCTACAGGACCTTGGTGTCCCTCTTCTCCTTCCCACACTCTCCTGGCCTGGAAGGGCAGGTGTTCCATCACTTTTCCTGGAAGGACTTTACCGATGTCATGTTCTCCTTCTCCCAAGGCTCCGGGCCTCCAGGCTCGGCCTTTACAGAGAGAAGGGCATCTTCTCTTCATTATGAAAGAAATACTAGCATTGAGTCTGCAGGTGAGGCTGTGACCTAGCAGCTGAGGGACACTGGGAATCAGGGAATTGCCAAGGACAAAATATTTGGCAATTGAAAATATTATTCCCATGCTTATATACTTTTCATTGGATCTTGATCTAGAAAAGAAAATAGAGAATTCCAAAGCAGGTTAGAAATTATTGAAATCACCAAGTGCTTCACAGAATTGGACATCTGTATCTTGCCAGATTGCGCTATGTAAATTGCTGTGAATTATGGGGCTGCTGCTGAATTTGGGGATCTGGTGACTACTCGGCTTTTGTGGCTTTTGGTCTTACTGGAAACCCCTTTCGATGGTTTTCCAGCCCGTAATTCATGGTTGTGTGTTCTATATTTCTCCAAAGACCACTGCTGGAATCCTGTATTCACTGCATAATGAGTATTTTATTTTTAGATGTGGATTGCCTCTGAGGGAGGGAGCCTGTGGGAAGGTGGGTAATGAACTATTTTTTAACATAAATCACAAGCGCCAAAGAAAGTGGTAATATCCAAAGAATAAACAAAAGTGACCACCATTCAGCTGTAGACTTACTGTCTGTATCTCACACAAGTTGGCATTCTAAATTATGGGTAATATTTCAATCATTTGGTTATATTAACAGTGAAGAAAGATCCAAGGATTCCCCCAAGCATGTTTACTTTCTGTCCCGAATGCCTGGGTTCATTTCATTAAATAAAAGGAACATTTCAGGCCCAGGAGAATTACTTTGCTCTCCAGGAGTTTCATTACAAAACCCCAATATGTTGGCAACTAAATAACAAGACTGATATTTACTCTGTACCAACATCTGTTGTATGGAGGTACTTTCTTAGCTTTTGTTGCCCTTGGCCGAGTTTTATTTTCAAATGTGGTAAAATACATATAACACAAAATTTTCTGTTTTCACCATTTTCAAGGGTACAATTCAGTGACATTAATTACATCCACATGCTGTGCAACCATCATCACTATCTGTTTCTGAAATCTTTTCGTCACCCAAACAGAAACTCAGTACCCCTTGAGCAATAACTCTCCATTTCCCTCCCCTTTCTGCCCCTGGGAACCACTAATAAACTTCAGTCTTTATGTATTTTTCTAGTCTAGATCTTTCATTTAAGTGAGATCATACAGTATTTGTCTTCTTATGAAGACATTTTACTTGGTATGTTTTCCAGGTCCATCCATGTTGTAGCATGCATCAGGACTTCATTTCTCTTTATGGTTGAGTGATACTCTGTTCTATGCATATACCGCATTTTGTTAATCTATTCATCTGTTGATGGACATTTAGGTTGTTTCCACCTTTTGGCTATTGCGAATAGCGCTGCAATGAACATTGGTGCAAGTATCTGTTTGAGTCTCTGCTTTCAAGCCTTTTGGGTACATCTTAGCTGTGTTTTTATTGAGGAAATGTATAATATTTTAAATCCATGGTGGAGGAGCCAGTCCCCAAAACCCGTCTTTAGAAATCCACAGCACTCTTATAAACGGACGATACTAATATTGACAAAGATTCAGGTTGGGGCTACTAGCTATTTGCCCACATAGAATGTAATAAAAAGTGTTTACCATCCAAAGTATCAACGTCATCTACCATTTCTTCGACATCTGTTAAATGCTAGTACTGTTGTACGAGCTCTGGGCACTAATTTTTTTTTTTTTTTTCCTTCTTCTTTTGCTTGGAAACTAGTGACAGGGAACAAGGTAACCGAATTCATGGTTCACTCTCTAAGCACGCACGTCTCAAACGGCTTCTGAACTGTTTATTCTATACATGCACGCTCCAAACGGCGGGAACAAAGATACAGTGTGAATCGGGAAGACGCGGGGAAGGTAACGGTGAGGTCCGCCTGGCTGGAGGCAAGGGCGTGGGCAGTGGAGTTTATCTGAGGATAGTCTCTGAAGCAGGAACAAACCGTTTGTGGAGTTTCCGCAAAGCCCGTTCTTCGCAAATCCCTCCTAATATTCCGCTTGCAACTCCATCGTGAAGGAATGGGGTAGCCCCGTGGCCACGTACCCCTCGGAGGGCCGGAGGGTGCCTTCAGTGGACCTTTTCCCCCGGGTTTGGCCGCGCGGGCGCAGGCGGATCCGGCAGTCCAGGACCGCCGGCTGGGCATCGGTGCTGGGCCCGCTGGCTGCCGGCGGGGGCGTGGTCGCCGGCGCTGATATCAGGCTCCCCAACACCGATCACGGTCCCACGCCCCCTCCGCTCCGTCAGCCCCGCAGCCAGATCGCGCTGGCGGGGCGGGGCTGGCGGCGCGCGCCGGGGAGGGCTTTTTCTTTTTTTTGGTCAAACTTCAGCCACGTGAACCGCCCCCCATTCACTTTTGCGCCAATCAGGCCGCGCGGACGGATCCCGAGAGGGGCCATGGCTCTTTCGCCGCCGGGGCCGCTTCATAACGCGCCGTGCGTGACGTGAAGGGCTCCTGTTGCAATGGCGAGCTAAGCCGGAGGATGTGCAGCTGCAGCGGCGGCGCCGGCCACGCAGAGGACGGGGGCGGGTGCAGCGCTAGCAGAGCCGAGCCAGCCGAGAGACGCGGGCAGGGCGGGACGGGGGCCGGGACTCGATTGCCGTCGCCGTCGCTCTGGCCTTGCGACCCCGCGTGTGAGCAGGAGGAGCCGCCGCCGCCTCGCGCCCTAGCTGCCGCCGGCGCGCGCCGGGCATGGTCCCCTCTTAAAGGCGCAGGCCGTGGCGGCAGGGGCGGGCGTGAGGAACAAAG